ATTTTTCTTCTCAGAGCGGCCGCCACCTTAAATATCTAGCTGGGAAAGCGCTATTAAGTTTCAGCACCGTTCCAGCTATCAAATCAGGCAGGCAAACAAGCCGCTGTTGTCGCTGTCGTCCAACGTTGATCGGCGCAGGAAATCGTCGAGGGAGCGACGATGATGACTATAGCCATAGCTGTACCGGAGGATATTACTACTTCACAAAGAACACTAATACCGATCGCATCAGCAACTAAAACGACACAAAGCCACTAGCGATTTCCTTTGACTCAGGCCTTTGGTGACCATACCAGCACTTGTCATTGTTCGCTCGATTCCACCGCGTGCGCTGGCCTCGTTTCTCGCCCTTTAGTCGATCCGCCACTGCCACGCTTGCGACTGGAAAAAAAGTCAATTGCGCCAATGATACTGCTGTTGGCTCGAACGGCCCAGGAAAGGTCGGAGGGCCACCGTAAGCAAAAAAACTTACTGGCTGGCGTGTGCGCGTGACCAGCTAATGAGCGATCGTACACGAAATTGCACTGAACATCGACCAGCAGCTAAAGATATCATTGTAATAAGCGACGAGTCGTTCAAAGCACCAACTGTGGATCCATCCCCGTGTTCTAGTAGCGGCCACTGCAGTGACATCGGCCGCATAGGTCGCGCTGTTCTGCTACTATACAGAAAATCATCGTTCTTGCGCTTCTCTTCAACTGGAGAAGACCTGTTCGCTGGAGACCCATAGCAGAGATTTCATAGGGCTACAACGATCTCGCGTGTGTGACTAGCTGAAGCGGCGAACACGGAGCGGACAAAGGTCACCACGAGCGTAAAGGCACTGCCGCGCGATCGACGCATGCATAGATCGCGCAGAATGGAATGACGCCGAGGAATCACCATAGTCTGGCCGCGTTCGTCATCCGTAAACGCTACGCCTTTTGAAGCAGAGTTCTGGATGCATTAATTCGCTGAAAACTGACAGTCGACTAATCGCGCGTGTTGCCAATCTGTCATTAACACATTGATTGCCGTCCCAAGAAAGAGGGATACGTAGGGAGTACATTTAAGGAAAAGGACGGTAAGAAATGCGTCTCCTACTCTCTGAGTCGCGTTTTCTCTAAGCATTTCTACAAATAGTATTATACATTGCCTGAAACATAATTTCTGTTCTGTTCTGTTTCAAACGCTTTCAGGATAACCCATTGGGCAGGAGTGTCTTGAAACAAAGCTTATTATGCGTTTTTTTTTTTCAACGTAATATCGTACGAATATCTATTATTACGTCAAGACTATGCTACGTACAGTTCAGACAAATTTGACTGTGCACTGGAGCAAATTTAGCTCTAAATTTAAAAAAAAATTAAACTAGTTGAAAAAAAGGACATCCCCAGTCTGGATAGAAGCAGGCGGATCGAAGTGCCAACGACAAATCAAAGTTACTGTTCGTCTATTTCCTTATATACAAGCTCCACTTTATATCCTTATAATATATATATATATTATTAGGCAACATGTACAAATGCGCTAGGTACTCAACACACGTATACTGTATTTGGCTAGCCGGCAATGACCTATTTACTTCCTCTGTTGCGGCTAAAATGTAATACTACCATAGCGAACTGTGCACTATACATGTATCTCATTCTTTAGGAAGCGCACATCGATTAGGGTGACGGAGGAGAGAAAAAAAAAAGGAACAAGTGACGATCCTCCGTTGTGTCATGACAGACATACAAGATGTGCCGTTTCCCAACAACTGGAGACATGTCACAGGACTGGAGAACAGAATGCCCATTTGTGCCTACTTCGACGTTGCTAGAGAACAGAGACGCGTCCTAGACGTGGACGATCTTTCACCGGACGAGTATACTTATATCACGCTTTATGTTTCTTAAATCCGGTCCTATTACTTAGATGGCTAACTCCCAGCGAAATTAAATGAAGCGTGCTTACTGCCGGTTTCGAACGTAAAACGACTCACGTTGCTTAGCCAAACATGTTACCATTACGGGAACAAATCAACATAGTATATAGATAGAGCTGTTCCGATAACTTCTCGCGCTATACGTTTTTGGTGGTGAAAAAGATTAGTGATTCTATAACGACGATAAAATGAACTTACTCGGCGTGAAAGTTTCGTTTATTATCCTATTCAACTTTGCTTTTGTCTACAGTACTTAAAATAGCCCTCTATCGGTGCGGCATTGAAACATCGACGTTTAGAGTAGTAACGCGGTATCTGGGGAAGTAGTTGAAATCCGTGCCTCTACCAGCCGGCGCCTCTGAGTTCATCGAAGCGCACACACTGACATGAGCCAACCCTGAATAGATATACCAACTAAAATTCTTCTACTAATTAATGCGTTCAACTAACTCAGGCGGACACTTAATTTCGTTGTAAATATTTCTATAGCTAAAAGAAAGAGGGCGCATTAAACAACAATGTAACACAAACCAGTATCAGATATGATCCGAAGCGGCTTAAGTGCATAAGCATATAAGTTTTATTCAGTCGACTGTGCTAAAATCAATAGGCATCTATGGCGGAAAAATGGACGATTAAATAAATTGCTGATAATTTACGAACCTTAGCAAGTCGCTCCATTGGCGGCATTTTGAGGAATTGTTCCGGTTGCTGTACCAGTTAGCTCTAGTAACTTCCTGAAATTGTTCTCTGACGACCTGTTTCGCTGCCGTCTCTCTAAAATTAACTGCAATAAAAGACAGGCGCTTCTCCCTATTGCCCCACACGATGACGACAGCTGGCTGTGATCCGAGCTAAATTTCCTAACTGTTGTAAGTCCGCAAAATCAGCAAACGATGCTAGTACACTCAACGAAGAACAATTCTGGTAGGATCACACAGCACTATTTCGGACCTTCAATTTCGTCCGAGACGACCAAACTGAAGTTCTCTGAAAAACTATCAATGGGCATACGTTTCTGGTCTTGAACTTACAAGAGCTACAAGTCAACTAAGTTAGTTGTTCTCTCGATGTACGAAATACAACGGAACAGACCGAACTTAGCGGGATGGTTCGAGTGCTCAGTTTTAGCAGATGTGGCTAGATGCTGCCCTCGATTTCGAATACCTTACCACCACAGTTGCGGTCACAATAAACAGACACTCACATGCACCCAATTGCTTCTTCGATCACCGTTCTGTTTTGTTCCCCGCTAATGTTCGAAAAAAAAAAAGATGTCGAAGATACTATCGCTCTCGCCCGTCTTAATCTTAACAGAGCCCGCAGTCCTGCTTACTGATTCGCTAGCACTAAATAGACAGCGATGGGGTGGTGGCGACGACGGAGGTCGCTGTGTCGGAGTCGCAACGGTTATTGTTTGCAAACTTCTGTTCTCTGAGAAGGTAGTCGAAACCGTCGTACAGCCAACTAGACACTCACGCATATACAGATTGTATACAGGTTGCTACAAGTACTTATAGCATGCTGTTGTTGTTGTTATTCATGTGAGTGTTTTCCTCCGTGTTTTGACACTCTCTATCCAACTAGGTACCCCCCGTCAGGAGAGTTGCTGTCTATTCGGCCGCTGCCTGCCGATACTCATTAGCAGTGGTGCTCTCTGGCAAACTTTGATGGTCGTGCTGCGGACGTAGGCTAACGAGAGTGCGCTATGCCATTGATTGTCCGATGATTTGGGGCTGCTGTTTGTAAGTTTGCTTACTTGGCTACTGGCGATCACGAAGATAGCAGCAGCAGTAGTAGCAGCAGCAGGAACCGATTCGTGCTAGCGCCGCTGTCGCGGGGAAAGCCCCATCGCGGCCTTCCTGCTGCCGCTGTCGGCGCTCGCTTAGACGGAAGGAAACGGATGGAAGCATTCTTGTTATTGTGAGCAAGCCAGCGAGCGACCAGACGGCCGGGCGTCAAACCTTACATTACGCTATACCGTAACAGATTATGGGTTATAATTGAACTGTCGTACTGTATAGCAGCGACACATAGCGAAGCTTTAGTTCTTTGTGACCACAAAAAAAGTCCGCTGCTGATGCCGCCCTATAAGAATGAAAGCCTATCGCACCGCGCAGCCGCTACACTCATGGCAGCGGCGGAACGCGCTTCCACGTGCAATTGGCGCTGGCGAAACGACGAAAATGACGTGATTCATGCTCTCGAGCCGATAACAGGGAGGAGGCGTAATTTAGCATGCTCGTAAAACTCTCTCCGGCGAAATAAGCCACCGTATTATTTAGTGACTCACACTGGCCATGGTTAGTTAGAAAGAAAAAAGAAAAAGGGCTAGCTAGACATGAACGTTCTCTGAGCTTTCCTTCTAATAACGATCTTTACCAGCTCGCTGAAAAGGGGCGTCTAAACTGAGTATTTTGGATAAACCACGGGTATTCGCATCTGAAGCTTGACTTGTGCCATGTGCGGAATTGACGAACAGGACTGAATGCGAATTGACCGCCTCATGTACTTAGTGTTACCGCTGCATCGTTACGGGGGCATAGTAATTAGTCTATTATATCTGTATTATAGAGGGGTTTCGATAGCCCGTCGCAGTACGGCTCAAGGAGAAGGCTCTTGGATTAATATCTTATTGGTGAAAAAAATGGTTCCACCGCGACGATACGAAAAATCTGCTGGGTGTGAATCTAAACAGATTCAACTCCTGTTTGATCTATAGTCTAAAGATAGCCTTCTATCGATACGGCATTACGATACTGCCACACGTACACCAAGCGGCACTATCAGAAGGTGAAAACATTTCAAATGAAGACAACTAAGACGCTTACCGATTGTCGTAACTTCCTGGAAGCCCTTCTAACCTACTGAATGTTTTACTCAAAAGGAAACATTATCGGAGACGCATCTCCGAGTTGAACTCGGGTTTAACGCAAGTGAACCCGGAATGAGGCGGCGTATCATCAGCCCAGTTAACTGTTTTCTATTTTGATAAATTTTACTGCCTGACCAAATGTTTATATTCGTTTGATAGATTGACGCTTCGAGGAATCGTCTCGGAAACTAGCGCAGACTAACAAAAAAACCGAAGTTCTCAATGAACGGGCAAAAATAAGTTGTTTTTATTAACTGAAATCGATTTCTCATGGATTTTGATGATCGACTATCGCTTTTGTATGCCAACAATTTACCCTTTTATTAATCACATATGAACTCAAGCGAAAGCGAAACAAAGCACTAAAACATTTTGTGCGCTGTAATACTCTCTGCAACGTTTCTGGCCGTTGAATATGATCGGTGCAGTGGTCGATCCTTCGGTTTTCTAACGCTTTCTGATGCTGGTCGACGACTCTTATGAAATAGTTAGAATATCGAGAAAATTCAAGTTTTCAAGATGGCTACAGGCTCTGACAGTTGTAAACCTTAGTTATTCCTCTTGCGCATTGAGTAGGCTAGAGCTCTATAAACTAAGACAGCTATGAAAAAGGGCCTCGCTACGTTCAAATATCAAATGATGAGCATTTTCCCGGGCTTTTTGGCTTTGACGACGATTGTCTTGTGCCATTTTTAACAGAGCATGATATTAAGAGTAAAAAAATTAAATACAACTCTACAGTGTAACGTAGACGGAATGAATTGTCTGGGCTGCTTTGGTGGTTTTCTGGCATCAGCGAAAAATCGATATCGCCAATGCATACTCTTTATCCGACATTGTAGTCCTCTTTAGAGAGCAAATTCGGGGTACAATCTTGTGACTCGAATAAAACTGTAGCAATAATCCTGTCCAGTAAAAATTTTTCAACGGGTTTAACCCTTGTGCAGACAAAAACTAAGAAAAATAGACCACAAAATAAAAACCGCCATCAAGTTTCGAACGGATCAGTTACTTGGCTTGCGTAAGGACAGCGTGGACAACACAGGACGACACATGTCCATCGAAAGCTACGCGAAACAAGTATTTCAGTTACAAAATACTTCAACAGATAAAACAAATGGCAACAGAGTGCTTATTATTTCAATAGAAGCGCAACATAGACCAGTATATGATGCTAACGTCATTGGCAGCGACGTTACTTTGGAGACTTCACTCGATGAAGTAGTGTTGCCTGTCACAGGCGAACTCATTTCGTAGTAGAAGCATGAAACCGTGAGGCTTGCGTAACAGTAAGCAGTTATAATGTTTGCTATCTTAATTTTCGAATAACGTTCACGCGAACGTTCTACGTACGTATTTACACACTATGATACTAGCACAAAATACGTTATAATCAAATATATACCTAAACGTTAGTTGGGGTTCATGGAAAAAGGACGACTACCATATCCATATGAACATTAGGTCACTGTTGAATTTCTCTAGTGAACCTCCTCCGCATCGCCTAACGACATCGCCTCCCGAACGATAATTCCCCTATTCTGAAAACATCATACCTTATTTGCATAGTTTTGTTCACTACAATATGGTCAAAATCGATTTCCACCATTAGTGGCCATATAACGTTATTTATTATATTCAATCGTTTACTTCTTAACTAGTTCCCCTCGTTTTTATGACGATGATAATTAATGTTGTTGCTGCTGCTGCTGCTGCTGCTGCTACTATCAATGCTGTTGACGTTGCCACAAACTCGCCCCATCTCAAACAGACAACCATGCAAGACTTCGGAGCTGATCAGGTGGGCACCGAGACCGATACAATCAGGTAAGCTAGTTTTATGCTTGATAAAAATTTAACGCAATTGCAAGGCAAATGAATTTTAGCGTTCATGGCCATTAGGGCAACTTCGACCTTGTTAGCTCTGTTATAAAGAATGCTTTTCGCTAAAAGGTTTTTGCTTAGAAGGGATTTTTCCAAGCTTCAAATGATGATTGAGCCTCGTTCGGGACATACGTTCTCAGCAGGAAAAAAAAAACAACTATACGGCGAGAGAACGTGAACTCTACGGTTTATATCCACTGAAGCAAGATTATCTCGCTGGATTAGCTTCAGTAGCCTGTTCCCTCATCGATCCAAACGGGCTGATTTAGTAATTTGACGTTCCCTATAAAGTGTAGCGGCAGTGCGATCCGACACACGATTGATCTAACCGGTCTAGTTTCGTACAGAATAGAAAATGTTGTCTATGCATGTCTATGTATAAATCAACAGTCAACGTTGTTGTTGTTCTAATATCACGAATGTTTTTAAGCCTTCGCTACCTGATACAATAAATTATAACTGTAATAGTAAACATTAAACAAAAAAAAAAAAACCTTTAATATGTCACAGAGAAAGCGATGTTATCGGTTTTCGTTCCGTCTTGACGGTGATTAGGACAAATATATGATTATGGCCGTAAAACGATAGGCACAAGATTAGTTCCCTATATTTGTACGATGTATCGACACTTCTATTAGCTCAATGTTAGGCTTAATGATGATCGGATTACGTCTAATCGTATACTTGATCCTGCCGTGTTTCGAAATGTCCTATTTTCATCACTCTTCTCAGTTGCAATTGGTACGTTGTAAAATACTTGATTCGTTATATGCTGCTTCAACTATTCCTACCTTTCCACATGACTTAAGCTCACAAATAACAATAATTGGTGGGGGAAGCCGAAAACGAGGCTTCCGATATGACCCGAAGGGACCAGATGGGCTCAACTACTTCTACCACAGACGAACTGCGTTTATAAATAAGCGAAATCCACGATAGAAAACATTATTACATATAAGGAACTATATAGTTCAATAAGCAGCTTGCATCTCCTGTACTCATAAATAGTTATATATCAATCGATCTGTCATACAGTCAAACATCTCTCTGCGTATGAGTGTATCACTCTATCCGCACAAGCGAAATCTGGGAAAAATAGAGTAGTACTCGATTCTAAGGGTTCAGTAAAAGAGCGTTGTTTGTCAGGGAATATTTTGCCGTACCTAGCTAAAATTCTCAGTCCTCAATTCTGACCACTATCGAGCTAAAACGTCGACTTTTTCTATGTTGAAAAGCTGTAAAAACCTCGAAATAGCTTTATGAATGAAACAAAAAAATATCCATTATCATAAAGGTTACTTCACCACCTGAGTTTGTTACAGTGTTACTATTACGTACACGTTTCGAATCCAACAATCAACGGCTAGTTAGGTCAAAGTCCAACCATAGAAATGCATCCCTCCGATTAAAAGGCCTGTCTCAAATTTGCGCGAACTTTATCATGCCCTGCCATCGAAAATTACTCCATCCACGCTCCAGCCCAAGACTGTCTCAGCGGCAAGTTTGCCCCTTTCGCGCCGAAAACATATAAGGAAGATAAGAAGCATGTAGCAGGTGTTTTCGCAGTAGCGCACCGCAAAATACTGCGCTCAATCCTTGGCTCTTACAGGCGAAAGACTCTCGCGGTTCGCAAGTCAACGGGCAGGTTAGTGGAAATATCGGTGTACCAAAAGACAAAAAGACATAGACAAATGGCCGGCCAACAGCGTTAGGGGGAAGGTGACCGTCATTAATCAATAGTCGTAAGTAACTCGAATCGGAGCTGTCCGCCCTAAACAATCATAGTTCATATAGCCTTTGCGTTTGCAAATACGTTTGCTTTGCGTGTTCGTGCTTTGAGATCCTTATATCGGCATTATCGGTAGGATTAGAACGCAACCGCCCAATTGTACAGGCTATGTGATCAACTCATGAGTGGGTAGACCTTTACTGCAGCCGTACTCCACGTTTGGTAAAAAAAGGGTGTTACGTAAATACCAAACTGCAAACCAAGGAAAAACAGTCCGGGCTGTATTTTGGTTAACAAATTTAAATATTCAAACAATATCGACTAAAGAATCGCGATTAACCAATGACACCTCTAACGACGAGGAAGCGCTCATACGGGTTGCTCAGCATTATAGCCTCACTTGCAATTAGTTTAAGCGTAATGGTATCAAGGTCAAGTTCCGGCGACTTTTTGTCTGAAGCAGCCGGTAATCCTTGCTCTATTTCACAAACGAAAAGCAAACACAGGCAAGCCGATTGTTTAATTATGTCCTCTCCTCGCATAGAGGACCATCATAGAAAACAATATTTTATGCTGTATATGCGTACGAAGTACCAGTGACCGCTGAAGCCTTATAGATACCGGTGAAGAGTGAACCACTTGGCCGGATATTGTATGTGGGCGACACCCGATCGTTGTCTTCATGAGCCGGCGATAACGTTTAGCGCTTTCACGCTGTGAAATGATAGCCTTACTTTGTTTATTCGACTATCGTATCACATCCTCAGTATTTTATTGGAACGCACACACGTATTCACATACATTCGTACACACAGACACACACACACACACACACACAGCCCACGGTCTATAATCTCTCGGTGAATTTGCAACCCCAATGTTGGCGTAATGCTGAAGCACAGACCGACGCCGAGTTCAAAATCGTTAACATATTACAAGCGGCCGTCATTATCAAGCAATAAGATGGGTAGTGTATATAATATAAAGAAATGTGCACCTTCCTGACCAGCCACAAGCTGGCGAGGCAATGATACAAAACATGTATATCCAAAGTGACATAGGGGCCACCGATTCGTTGTGTCGTAGTCGAAGTTGCGACATAGACCGCCTACATAGAAGATGTGCCTGCGTCGTGCCGATTTGAAGCACAAAATGAAGGCTATTTAAGTTTTTGGTGCCTCAATGAGTTTCGTCATTGTTGTTCGGTTCGTTCGGAGTTTCAGCGGGTCTCTGTGCTGCGGCTTCTCCCAACCCCTGCTCTTCCTGAGCGGCTTGATCTTCCTCGCGTTTTTTATTGAGTCCACTGAAGTCTTCTAGTTTACGGATACGTTTCTCATGCTTGAGAATGAGTGACTTTAGTAGCTTCATTACCTCGACAAGTTCAAGGTACTGTTCTTCTGAAATTCCAGCGGCCACCGGAGGTGGAGGAGCCCGCTCTGGAGAGTCTCCAGACGAATCAACGTAAGATGCTGGTCGCGTTTCCTGTTGAGGTTGTCCAGGCATTCTGTCAAGTATGTTGGACTTCGGTCGAGGCTTGGCGGTCACCTGGAAATCTTTGTGCTTCGCCTGGTAACCGTCCTTGAGGTTGATGAGTAACGGTTCCCGATCTTCGCCAGAAGCCCACTCATCAGCGCTCAGGGCCGGCACGTCTCCCGGCGTCAAGGGGTATAGGTCATCTTGAAATAGATCAGACTGGAAAATGTTGAAAGGGTCTCGAATCAGATAAGGTCAATAATATATATGCTTATTTATTTGCAACACTTGGAAGAACTTTTAACCTTTTTTGAAGATTTGTGTCCATTGTGAGCAGGCGCCATTATAATGACTTTACGATTTCTTTCTTCTTTCTATGGTGAGTTTCGGATTTTCACATTCAAATAGCCAGATACTCCTAACATCCAAAGTTCTATGATAATTATGTTCAGTACTAACTACGATTTTTAGTCGAGATATTGCTCGAGAACAGTCAGAAGGGTGTGACCATAGAAAAGAACAACCAGAAAACAGCTAATTTTATTACCTTTCGAGGTACAGTGAAAGAGATAACTTCACAGAGCCCTTTAGTGTGTAACTTGAAAAAGCGTGCGATTTCACACTGGGTGACGTCCACGCCACGCTTTACCATGCCACACATTCCGCGCTGAGGCTCTGAAGATTGGTAAGTGTTAATATAGTGAACGAAAGGTGCCTCTTCGGTGATCTCGAAGTATCGAATATTGCTGTCACCTATGAGCCATGACCAACACCACACAATGTCAGGATTATTTTATCTATTTCGTTGATGCAATCCATAAGGAAATTATTATTCAGTTGCAGCTCATCATCGGTCGGCTTTCCAATCAACACTGGATAACACCTCTTCATTTAAGTAGCTATACAAAACGTTGTTTACAATCGATTACTTCATGGGTGGATTTAAACTGGTGGCCCTAACTTCTTGCAAGTTTCAATTTTTTATTAGAAATTACCTTTTCAACTTTCACATTTCATGTTAAGCAATTGAACATGTTAGATTCACTCAGATCAACTTCGTTTATAGGTGAGTGACGTTATTTAAGCCATATGTTTCAACTGTTTTGCTACTGTTTTCAGGAAAATGGTTATTTCGAGTAAGTTGTGCTTACCTTTGGCGCACAGGAAGAGAAGATTTACATCAGGATCATAATAGGGGACTAGCACACCATTGGACGTGTCGAGCTCTTCTAGAACAACCGGCTCATTCAAAGCGCTTTCGACTCGAAGCGCGTACTGGCGCTCGGACATACGTGAGAACCCAGTAGTGAAAATGAGACCGTCTCTTAAGTAGATGGCTTTTTGCGGCTTTGCCCCCTCGTGGCCAAGTCCCTCACATTCGATCTCGCCCGACCGTGGATTATACACACGAATCTTTCGGTCTTTGCATGTCGTCACAATTCGGCTTCCATCCCAATTCCAGCAGGCGCTGAACACAACGTCAGGATGGTCAATCGCCGAAAGGATCTCTGAAGTGCCTACGTTCCAAATGATCAGTTTGCAATCGGCACCGATACTGAGTAAAACGTTGTTGGCCGACGGGTGCCAATGAATGTTTTGCACTTTACGCTGATGGCCATGCAGCTCGACTACAGGCTCGGTCATTGTTCGGACAAGGCCGAGATTTGGGATTTGCCAAACACGAACAAAGGTGTCGTCGCATGCTGACGCTATGACATTATCGTTGAAGGGACTCCAGGCGATGTCTAGGACGGGACCCTTGTGACCTGCGACCAATGGGGCGTTAGGGTCAACACGACCCACCTAGGAAGGATATTTCAACAAAATCAGGGCTAAAGGTAATTAAGTCTGCTAAAAAACCGTTATTCATTTTCAGGCATTAGACAATGTAGCTTAAGATTTCGAAACAGGACATTGACCTTGGGGTCAAATCTTCATTTGCACTAAACAATGTAGTTTAAGGTACAGCATCTCACGCATACCTGTTTGATTGGAAGGACTAGAAAAGCTCCGCCTCCAGCCTGTTCGGTGATAATTGCAATAAACTTGGGGTTGGCACAGCAGAAGTTCGAATCCCATGACGATTTCGTAATGCGAATATTGTCATAGCAATTCTCCTTCTTCAGCGCCTGGCCGAAGATGTGTCGAAATTTTGATGAGCGGACAATTGACCGATGCGACATATTTACTATGTTGAAGATTACGTGTTACTTTAAGGATTCGAAGAATATACTGAATAAGTTTTTCAGAAGGTGCTGCTTCTTGCTGCTGAGTGCAGATTCTGGTGTGAAACGAAAAGTGGTATTAGACAAATGTCGATAAATATAGTTAATAAGAATTCGGTTATATCAAGCTAGACCGAGTGCGTATGAACTTCAGAGAGCAATTTTACTAGGAGGCATCTTGAGAACCGCTGACTCGTGTCGTGACATCAATTACAAGTTTGCTGAATTGATTATATGACGCTATTAATAAATATATACTGTTAATTGACGTTAGAAAATGTGGCATTTAGCTAGAGGAGTAAAGAGTAGCGTAGTAGTAGTAGTAGTAGTAGTAGTAGTAGTAATAGTAGTAGTAGTAGTAGTAATAGTAGCAGTAGTAGTAGTAGTAGTAATAGTAATAGTAATAGTAATAGTAGTAGTAGTAATAGTTCGATTTTCTCGACTAAGTCGGTAGTTTGGTTGACTGTGAAACGGCTCTGCGTGACTGTACGCAATAACAATTGTTTTCTGTGATAAAATAACGACTGGTCCGTATGTCCCTCAAGCTCGCGAGTGAGCCGCCGGACAATCGCCAAAGTGCTAGAAGCTATTGTTTCTATATAAATTATATTAACACTATTCATAACATTTGTTATTATTATTTATATTCAAATAAGTTCATCAAGTCCGGTCTCGGCTAGCGTCACACATTTCTATCTATATTTAAAGCATACAAACGGATTCAACACACAAACACTGTTTGTTGAATATAGTATTTCAGTCCAATATGAAAGTCACCATCCACTCAATGGCCAATAGTTCTAACACCTTTGAGGCCGCTTTTAAAGTTTTCCTCCTTACGAACTTAACGACTCGTTACCGTATCTATAGGTTTAAGTGACACAGCCGAGTGTGTGGCAAAGCAGTAGATCCCGAAAAACATCACAGGTTTTTGAGCTACATAAATAATCCAATAAATTAATTAATTAGCTAATGTATAAACTAAACATTTATACACAGGCTAGAATTTTTACTTGGAGGAATTAACTCGAGCGTCTGTCTGCATAAAAGAATGAGCGAGATCTCTCTCTCTCTCTCTCTCCTCTCTCTCTCTCATATTATCTCCTCTGTTGTACCTTCCATTTGTGCTTAATAGACGATACCGCACATCAGATAAGTTATGTGTTTGATCATTTTTTGCCTACGAATTAGCGGTTTGCACAAAAATTTATACAAAATACCTGTGGCTGACTAAACGTTTAAAAAGTAAACGGCAAAAGTATACAAAACAGGATGAACTCGCCGTCCTGCTCGGCAATAATGTCCCATTCTATTGTACTCTATTAGTGGGAAGAAAAAAAACTTTGACTAAAAACGCATAAACAGTTAGACAATGGCGCAGTTTCACTAATCACGAGCGGGCGTTTTTGTTCCACCTAAATTTTATGGCCGAAACCCAAGTGTAAATAAAATCTGATTGATTCCATGAATGAAAAAGCAGACACACAAGAACTTGGCCAAATTAGCCACTTAAGAGGGTTTCTTCGTTACCAGCAGTTACTGCTGTGGAACCAGTGGCTGTCGATCAGCCTACAATTGACTGGCACTCACCTTACGACGATCGCGTCGCCCCAGTTCTAGCTGGCGCCGGGCGTCGATTGCCGAGATTATGCGACTTCTGTAGTATGCTGTGTGTCTGTGTGTGATTTGGTGCTTAACGTTGCTGGCTGGCAGTCAGTTGCTTCCTTTTTAAGTTCTGTTTGGATTAAGCCGCTCTAGTCGCTGCTACGGCCAAGAACAGCTAGTACAAACCGTTGGACTAGATGCCGCCCTAGAACCAGCAGGAGCGACAACTGATGACTGCTGTGCCTATAACTCTTGCCTCTGTCATTGCAAACGGCCTTTGCTTTTTGTTTATAGCAGCTACCACACGCGAACACACACACACACACACACACACACACACACACACACACACTCACTTACACACATATACATACACACCCGAGATACACCTAGGCGTGCGTAGATCGATAGGTTGCTGGATTGCGGACTTTTCGAAACATACGCCCTCTTTTTCTTATTCCCACTGCTGAGTTCCTTTGATGTCGTTACTGCCGCCTCGAACATCTACGGCAACGGCGGTCGTACTTTTGGTGCCGTACTAACGGGACTACAACGGAATCGTATTTAGTCGGCCAACCGCTCGTTGACGTAGAGCGACCCGGGCGTATTAGCGCGCAAACACAGCCAGCCTATTGTTATGTCATGACAACATTATACTGCAATAGCGAAAGTTTTTTAGGTTTGCAGCACCGATTCGGGTGAAGTCATTGAGCTGAGATGCCGTTAACTGTCACACATCGTTGAGCAATTGGAATCACAGGACGCATAGAGGCCATTGACAAGTGTACAATCAAAAGATTGATTCCCTTCTATGCTGTAAATTGTTGGCTAAGAACAGCCGGTAGAGTTGTTTACACTATATCGGGTTAGCAATAAGATTATGGAGGCAGGTGGCCTTTGCCTACTCGATACGGCCAGGTAGCAAGTATGATAAACCGATAAACTTACATAGTTGGTAGAAACAAGCGAATAAACTTGACGCTACCACGACCATGTTACTCAATTCGAGCGTTGAAATTATAAGAGTCACAAAAGCCACTTTCTATACAAATACTAAGTTGCAGACAGATGTGGCCATTTAAGGTCTTCGCCCGGCTGTCAACACACGACCAGATGAGAAAGGGAAAATCCCGTACTGATTCAACACCTTATTTCTCTAATATCACAAACAACAGTAGAGTCCTTCGTTCGAAGCTTAAGTTTCTATACGCGGCTTTATTGAAAACGTACCAATTTTAAGTGGTGCCGCATTGATCTACTAAATAATAAAGGCAATATTATAGATAAACTATAATTAAGTGGTTCCAGATTTTCTAGCGATAAATTCATCGCTCAACGACTATCGACAGGGAACGCTTAACGGGGAATCAAAGTGGTAGCTAGAAAAGATTTTTTATGACATCAGAAAATATAGGCTTCCTCAATGAAATCAACCGCTAATCAAGCGGGTGACTTGGAATCTAGCACGCTGGAAAACATAGAATTGTAGATCAAATGGAAAAAATCGATTATCCTTCATCATCAATGAAAGAAACAAAGGCTGCCAGATTGGTAATTATAATGATATTACATGGCAGCATTTCTGCACCTCTATAGACCCTAAATAACTGGGAGTTCTCCAGGGGCAAATTTCCATGAAGCCACCATTCTATCAATTATTATCCTATTACAGATCGAAAGCAAAGTTATTTCGTATGGTTACAAGGGAACTCAGCGATGAGGCATTAACAGAGGGGATCTAACTGACAAAAATATCGATAAAGTAAACGCTGGAGAGTGATCGTAGAGCCTGATTGGACAAACTATAGGGTAATGTTGCCTAACCTTGACATCTCGATGTTGACTGGAGCCAGGATGGAATAGAAAGCATTTTGACACGAACCTTGGTCAACTAGTTTGTGAACGTCTAAAGCGACCTCTGTATTCGTCGTTTTCCATGTACTTTTATTTAATGCTACGCGATCGTGATTGCCCTCTGACCAACCTTTTTTGGAAATGTCCTACGATAAGGCAAATAGTTCATTTAGCGGATGTGTCCCGCAGGCAGTGGTGTACACGCTCCACAGGAAAGTGAAATCCGTTATACAACGATGTTTGCCGCCGTCGTCATAATCATCATCGCCCATCTACCCATGATCGCTCTAATGGGACTGGAAGGTGATTCAGCACCAAACACTTATCTCCTGTTGGTAGATCTTGTGTACATCAGCGTGCGTTGGCCACACTCTAAGTGCGAAAACAATGGCCTTTGCGCTTGACGCAGATGCGCCATGCCATGCGGCAGCAGTGGATACATATCGGCATTGCCAACGGAAGTACGCATGAGTACTCTGAGTAAAACAACGTTCAGAGGTTCAATATCAGCTGCCGTTATAAGTCGCAAGAGGGCTTAAGAGGTTATGATACATCTACAGAGTTACTCGATGAGTCATTAAGTCGTTCATCTTCATGTCCTTGGGCCTGCTGACCCAGCCTTGGGCTGAAACTTTACTCTAGATTTTTATTATAGCATATTTTTCAAGTGATGTGTTTTTGGCAAGAGTACGACTCACCCATGGCTATTTTACAATCGACAATCAAGCATTCTTCGATACCTTAGCAGTTAATCATAGCATCGTGTTTTTATAATACACTTCTGTCAATTATACCACAAAGCTTAACGGTTTCACTAGCATTGAGTCATTCGCAAGCTGGAAGTGGGTGTGATAAAGTTCATCTTCCCGGCTACGCTGTGAGCATTTTGTAGGATATCCTAAAACATCCGGCAACTCTGACCTGAGTGCGACAAAGCGCTTTCATTTTTACGACGTTTAGGAAATGATTGTTCTCCGATCGAATTGTCTGCTGCGGCAGGCTGTCAGCCGAAAAGCCACTTCCTTTACAGCCTTTGTTCTTTGGCAGTCGGTAGTCATACGTATCGAGTCTGGCAGCTCATTGGCATCAAAGAGCGCTCACACGGAAATTAAAATTGAATTCGTCTTTCTGCCGAGATCGATACGTATCTTGTCGAAGAATGAGCTCTAGCGAAATAGTAGCCTCTTGTCGCTAACAATTGTGGGTCATCATAAAAGCGCAGTTGAGAGAGACGACGGTGAGTTACCACAGAAACGAACAGGAAGGACAGGTAGCAAATATCCAGACTGTTTTGTTATACCGATAACACGCATTTACCAAATGTATTCCAAAATATAATTATCGGCGTAACAAAATGGCTAGACAAGAGAGACAGCCTTGTCATAGCGAAACGAACAAGACCAACGTGTCTGACTAGACAGCGGGCAACTCCAACAAAACAGATCCCACAAGCGCCTATAAATGGAAGTCTATAGATATTCGATCAAATACGATGAGTCTGGTCGACGACCAATAAATAGATAATCCGCCGCTTACAAATGATATTCATATAATAGTAAAAGAACTCAAAGATTATTAACAACCAATATTATTATTATTACTTTTACATATGTAACATTGTCTACGTAGCGTCTATTACGTATACCGACCTCTTCGAACGATTGGACCATTGTGTCGTCTGTTTCGCTATAATTCTCTCTGAATCGATAGAATCCTATCGCTTCGAGCCTACCTGATTGCTGGTCGCAAACAGAAGAGAATAATGGACGTAGAAGAAACTCACGTTTTGTCGTTGGTGAAAAGCAGGAAAACAAGATTTCGCGCGCGGTCGATCTGATTGGAGACGGCCGTTCCATGGAAATTTCTTTTCCAGCTAGCATACAAGCATGATTACGGTAATAGACTGTACAGTCTCCTCGCAGGTATACAAACCTCCAGTGTCCATTTAAAGTTCGCTGATGAAGGTGTGGTGCAAAAGCTGAAGGTATCCGAGATCTTCGTGAAGCCTTGGATTACCTTTTCGCGTACATGGTACTTAAAAGTAGTACTATTACTATTAGTACGATAGCTGTTGTTTTCGTTGTTCGGGCTGTCACCGATTTTGTTTCCAAGTGCCGCTCCGAGAATACTTAGCAAACCTATGAAACCTTAGACGTTTAAGCACTGCTCTCTTGCTCGTAACGGTACCACTGTCCTGTCACAACGACTTATCGGAAACCGTTTGCTTAATAAAATCAAAGATAAGGAAAGCACGCTTTCTTACGGAATCCGTCACTACTTCATACGTACACTGATTTGGAATCTATTGGCTGACAACACTGGACGATAGAAACTTTTTGCCCATTGCTAGATTTCGGCATTCTCTGGAATTCTGCCGTGTAGATAACTGTGCTTTGAATTTGGAGAGACCCTCTCTTTCTGTGCTCTTCTCCTTTTACCGAAGTACGGCTGGAACAGCTGAGAAAGTCGTTTAGCTTTTGTTCACACTCGTTCTCTTCAGCTAGATAGCAAACACACACTAATCCTACAATTTACAACTAGTTGTTGTTAGTAGATATCTCTTAGAAAGTTGTTAATTCGTTAAAAACAACAGACAACGCCGACTACTACTTCAGATGCCGCAGTGGCTATGGCTGATGTTCTAATTGACTACAGCTGTTGCGGCACCATCGACTTGGTACTCAACGACGTCAGACCAACGTTCGTCCGCTCCCCCGCGCCACCAGTATTGCTCGTACCGGAACGAACAAAGCAGTTGCTGTTGGTGCTCGCGTCAGAAGCTATTGCCAGGCCAAGTGCTAGATGCAGCACAGGCATACGGACGCAAACGCGAAAAAAAGGAGCCAGTTGTTCCCAGTGTGGAAATGGTTTTGGTAGCCAGCGGTCCACTGCCGTAGGCTGTAGCCAGGAAACAGTAGTTTCCCCCGTCCGTCGGTTAATCGGCAACTGAGCGAGCCCGTCGACAAGAGCAATCTGCCGCCTACCAGGCAATTCACAGGGCTCAATTAACGAATAACAGCTTCACTGACAGAGTGGAGTTGAGCTAGACAGTCCCCAGCCTGCCAGTAACAACAATAGTTTTCTCTTGGCCGTCTGTCGAGTGACTGCTTTTTAACCCCTATCGTTAGCCTCAGTTATCGCTCGTGCTGATAAACCGTGTCCGTCTTTCCTGGCAGAAGTTGTATTAGTTAAAATAGTGGTTGTTATAGTGCTATATCTATGGCCGTATCTAAAAGTATTGCCTTTATTGCCGCTGGGCAGAATCTTCTCGCCTGCGTGAAGCAAGGCGGGGGGCGTACGGGGGGGGGGGGGGGGCGGCGGCGCGGCGCGGCGCGGCGTGCTGCTGCCTTGCCCTGGCGTACGCTGGTTGCCTTGTAAGGTTGCCCACCACCGCCTCGTGTTGCTACTGCTAGTGTAATCGCCTGTCACCGGGTGCCGCGCTACTGCCCTAGGCCTTCTTCCAGCTTCTTCCCACTCGTTCGTTCCTTGTTGTGGCTGTAGTTGGCGCCGCCGGTACGACGATGTTGATAGAACTAAATAGTCGGGTAGAAATACACACATGTAAGAGGCAAGACCCAGACAAGCCAACTGTTGCCGTAGCTGATACAGCCAAACCCACTGGTGTCGAACCCAGCTCGGGCGAAAGCGGCTAGTAGGAACAGATCGACCGATGACAACGAGCCGTCTGGAGATGTTGTCGTAGAACTGGGACGATTTACTCCAGCCGAAGTCTCTAGACAGTAGTCAGCCGTACAAACCTAGTGCTAATGACATAAACAATAGTATGAGTCGAAAATCTCTTTGGATTCTTATAGACTCACAGGCACCTGGCGGAAAAGACGATCGGTACCACGCTTGAAACGTAGAGATCATCGACAGATAATGAGGGAGAGGCAGACCAAGAGCTATAGCCGGATATCGGCAACCGACAATATCGCTGCCCTTCCGCCAAGGGTGAGCCACTCTTGAGCACAACTCGCTGGCTCAGTTAAAGATTAGCACGTTTTATAGCAGCATTACCGTCGATGACGTTATCGTGATTCCTGCACTCACTAGCACTTATTACGAGCCACTTCCAACTGCGAACACCGACTGGCCTTCTTCAGCGGAGCACCGCACTACACCTCGCCTCGATTGCACTTCCTCTGCTATGTGCTAGTAGTACTACTTCAACTCTTCACTTCGTTCACCGATGAGCTTCACCAGTTCGGAAATCTGTTGCCCATTTAAATTGGACAGCAGTTTGGCGCCCACGGCACGTGCTGCACTTCTGTTCTTAGCCAGCCGGGGAAGATGACACCCCCAGACAGACCACAGCCTGCTCCTGTTACGGTCGCTAGTTTACCTTTACAGGCCGCTGCCAGCGATGGTCGGCATTGTTCGCTGAAAGATGGTACGGTAGCCTGTATGTTGCTCGCACGGGGGCTGCCGACTTCCGACTCGTGGTCGTAGTAGTTGGCTGGAGCAGCAGCGGTGGCACTTTGGCAGTGGCTATCGATGGCTACGAACTTCAACTGCGACGATGGCCGGAGCGGCAGAGGAGCGGGCACGACTTGGTCAATCGGTCGGTCGGCGAGCCCCCGCACCGTTTCATCGTGTTACTGTTCGTCCTAGCAGCATGAACACACAAGGAGAGGGCTAAGCGATCGCGGAGCAAGGGCCGGCTTCGTGGCGGCATCTTTCGAAATGTGCGCAGAATAGTAGACGAAAACAGGACTAACCAATGCGATGGAGAAGAAACGTGTGAAAGCTGGACCTAATCAAATGAATGTTGAAGGAGGAAATCGATGTAGTAGTGAAGTTGCTTCTGACAGAATCTTGCCCCATGGAAAAGAATCGTTCATTTAGACAGAAGGTGATTAATCTATGCTTAAGAAAACACTCGTATATGAAAAAAAAACAAATATCATAGTCTAAATTTCTGGTAGATTTGTTCATTCGCCTACGAGTAGGAAAAACGCTGTATTTGTCAGAAGCATAAATACATCGAGCTACTATTGGCTCTTAGCTGAATGCTGGATACAACAAAAACAGAATAAGATCAAAGCTTTAGCTCATTAATTCCTTAGAACCCGTCTTAAATACTTTATGGCCTTGAACTAAATTATAGACTTGTTGAAGTATCAAGTGATCTGCGGAAATAGCGCCGGTTATAGCGAACAGTAGAATCGCATAGAGAGACAATGCATGCTTTCAATCAATGTGGTACTTATGATTCGGTCAAAGACCATTTTTAATACTTGCGTCACTATAATTGACCCTTACTGTTTACGTTCAGAATTTTACGTTTGGTTTCGCCGTTAGGCATTTCTGCTGGATGGCTCCCAACACAAAAAATAACCCTATTTGTCCATCTGTCTATGCCCAGGCTTCCAAAGCTATACCCAAACCACAACATCTCTAAAGGTTCGCAGACAAATACTGAGCTATAACGAGGACATCGTATTCCGTTCGATCGAGTGCGTCCGACGATATCTAGTTTTTAGCTGTTAGTTCGCTATTTAACTTCACTAACAAGTATCTTTTCGACACATAATTCTTCAATTGATTCAAATTTCTATTATCTTCAAATACGTCCTTTTTATTTCTATCGTCATATTTACGCGTGTATGCAGTTAAGATCATGCCTGGTGTCTGGCGCATTTCGCGTTAGATCGGAACTTTATTTCTCCGAATGTACAGGTCCCCTTAACCATAAAACGTATTCAACTTCTTCTACTTCCCCGCAGACCAATTCATTACCCATATTTAATGAGATAATATCACTGCAGCAACGGCGGGTGATTCGGTTAATTACTGCCACCCGTGAAAAAGTTAGTTTGCCACCTGGAGAGTATTTGCTCTTGACAACGCAGCCATCTTAGCCGTATCGTTGCAGTAATAACGGCGGCGGTGCCTGTCTGAATAGTGGTTTTAGTGTAAAAAAGAATTCGTATGGCAACAAGAGGATTTCGTTAAGGCCTTAGACCAGACGGATACTGCGGGACGAAGTCTTCTCTACTTTAATTGACGTAAGCGCTTCATGTTCAATTATTTGATTTTGGCTCTTCTACCCCTATTAGTTCCCTGTCAGCATTTTTCTGGCTCTTGTTTGATGATCTCTATCTACGGATACATCGCGAAGGTGATGTTCGTGGTCGCGATGACGGTACTGGTGCAAACCCATGTTAAGGGTTTCCTCTTTTTCAACAATCTTACGTAACCATGCTCTGCTAGTCTGAGTACTGCCCCTCTACTCCCTTTCCTCTGGTTAGATATCGCTCGCCCGTGTACGGTTATCACTGGGTATATGACGGTGACTCAAGCGACATCTCCGCAAGTGTTGTCGTCCATTCGATTTCAGCCGGCCTTAACCCAGCAAGCAGCCGGTCCATATACTAATTGTGGGTACCTTCTATGAAGCAAAGCAATAGGACTGGCTAAGAGTTGCTAACAAAACACGGCAGAATTGCGTATGATATACACATGAAGAGCCTATGTCGATTCGAGTTTGCCTAAGATGGTTAAATGCAACGGGGCCCAGTGTCACCGTATCAATGCCATACGACGCCTCATAAGGGCTGCAGCCGGCAACCGCTATCTGTCGTAATACCATTTGTCATTTATAGGAAATAGACAAGCTTCGTTGAAGCGCACGGGTGACGAACAGCTAATATGGCAGATGAATTGCTGCTTGAAAAAGAACGAGCTACGAAATGCAGAGAAAGTCGAACAGAAAGAAAACTTCTAGGAGAACAAAAAAGGACAAAGAAGGCCTTTCAATGAACACTAGTTAC